TTCCACAAGGAAAGATGAGAATATAAAGATGTCATTTTTTCACTTCAGAAGACAATGCATTTTATTGCCTGTGTTATGTTTATTATGATTAGCATGTTAAACTCTTGCATTGTATGCGTCCGATCAGCCGGTTCTAGCTAGTGATCTCCTTTGACACTTGCATAGTGTCTTTGGGGCAAGAACAATTCTCTTCTTATATTCATACCCATTGCTTAGAATGGTAGGGCTCCGACTAAGCACGTGTCTTCCAGCTGTATCAAAATGGTAATTAGTTTTCTTCTCCTTTCAGGCAATGCAGTTAGCATCTCAGAGTCTAGGAATTCAGTTGCCTTGGTAAATTACAGAGCTTTATACCCATTTGAAGCAAGGAATCATGACGAGATGAGCTTTAATACCGGGGATATAATTCAGGTAAGATTTGCCATTGACATTTAACTTGCAAAAACCCAACCCCGCTTCCTCAGCCTTGAGATACACCAAGCTTTTAAGTGTCAAAGCATTATTTTGGTATATTTTAAGACTTACTAAAATTTAAATTTGATTGGGTTTTTTGTTCGTTTTTTAACAGGTGAAATTAGGATTAGTTCAGCTAAAATCTTTCTTTGGATCTTACACATCCTAGAAGTGTTGAGAATCTGTTTAGAATAACAATAGTGCACTCTAACTGATTTCAGAAAGTTTTTAATCAGGAATGATGTAGTTGTTGCAGTTAAGTCATACATGTATAGGTTGGCCTTTAAGTGTCTACTTGAAATACGGGTGTAGAAAATAGAAACGTGAATAGCTACATAAAATGACAAAATTATTAATGCCATTTCAACTCAAATTAAACACACTAGTTATTTAAAAAGTAGATGTGAAAGGCTATTCTGAATCTTAACACAGTTTTCTAATGTGTTGTTAGTGCAGGCTTCTGCCTCTTGTTGGCTGGTCCTTTATAAATGCTCCCTCAGGCAGATGTCTATAGTAGTTTATTCCGTGTCCGTTCTTGGTAGCACTTTCCTGGGTTGAACTGAATATGCCATCTATAATATTACAGCAGGACCGTAAGATTGGAAACGTCTTCTGGCTTCTCAGTTGAAATCTGTTATTTCATGTAATTTTATCACTTGTCAGCATACACATTTTTGAAAGTGTGTGCATTCAGGTGGACTTGTGAAAACTGATTTACAACTGTGATAATAAAATTAATATATATGTATCTAATATATGAGTCTATATGGTTCCTCCTCATTCAGATTCTAAGCAATATAGGTAGGAGGTAAGGGAGAATTTACAAAGCAATGTGGTACAAAATACTAATACACGTAAGTATTAGCCTTCAGTTTGACAGTGTTAAATCATTTATTTGTCTTTTCATACAAATGAAGCATGGAAGAGGGAACAAGAGAAGTAGGTTTTATTTTGGCTTCCTTCTCAGGTGTAATTAACTGTCATTCAACTACTGATAACTTATTTTAGAAATAGGCTAACAGGCGCTACCTTCTCCTCCTCCTTCTCCTCTTATACTCCAAACCTCATCTAGGCTAACTAGCTGATAGTATTTGATGAGCTGCTGATTTTTAGCTAATTTTGAGTAATTTGCTAATTTGCAGCATAATGGAAACTTCGGTATTGCTGTGAATGTTTAAGGATGCTCTTGGCTGGGTGCTGGTCTCTTTTCGCAAGTAACAAGTGATAGGGTGAGAGGAAACAGCCTCAAGTTACACCAGGGGAGGTTTAGATTGGACGTTAGGACAAATTTCTTCACAGCAGGGGTTGTCAAGCACTGGAACGGGCTGCCCAGGGAAGTGGTTGAGCCCTCATCCCTGGACGTATTTAAAAGACGAGTAGATGCAGTGCTTAGGGCCATGGTTTGGTGGTGGAATGGCAGGGTTAGGCTAGTGGTTGGACTTGATGATCTTAAAAGTGTTTTTCAACCTTAATTATTCTAGGATTCTATTCTGTACTTAATCACATAGTAGATAACAGAATTTTTGGACGTGTTTTGGATGCAGTTAGATGACACAGTTAATTAATTGTATCCGCAAACAGAACTGCAGCAGTTTTTTTCATGCGTTGCTGGGCTCACCAGCCACTGCCACATTCTGCAAAATACAGCACAACGTGCCGTAACTTTTGGCAAGCCAGAATGGCTCCAGGTATAGTACATCCCCAGTTTGCATGTTTGGGGCCCGTTTGAAGGAATACAGTGTCCTTGAGGCCTGTCTCTTCCTGTGTCTAAAGCCAGTGCAATTGCATCATCGCCCTGTTTCTTGAACAGGGCAAAATCAGCTCAATTCTGAAAGGGAAGAGAATGAAAACGCTGGTCCTTGTGTGAGTGCCGCTCACGCTGTTCGATTCAGAGTGCCAGCGGGTGCTGACGTGCCAGATACGCTGTTTGTTTCACACTGCTAATTGTGTTTTCTTTGCATTTGTCCTCCTGTCCGTAGGTTGATGAAAAAACCGTGGGAGAGCCTGGTTGGCTTTATGGGAGTTTTCAAGGACATTTTGGTTGGTTTCCGTGCAATTATGTAGAAAAAATACCAGAAGGAGAAAAACCTTTATCTCCTAAGAAGGCCTTACTTCCTCCTACAGTATCTTTATCTACTACCTCAGCTACTTCAGAGTGAGTTTTTGTTATGTTTGTGTTAAAATTGCTTTTTCTAAATTTAGCTAACACGTAATGTGCCATATGGTTTCATTCAGTGTTTGTTTTCAAAATATAAATGCAGAAAACTTAGTGAAGAGAATAATGTACCTGAATGTCTTAGCTTGGAAATCTTAGGTATTTGATACTCTGCTTTGCACTGTAGAGGATATCTGCTTTATAGATGTTAAATAAAAAAAAAAGTGATTCTGCTCAAGGTACTTCTGAAATAAAAATTGTAGTGTGTTAAATATGCTTGTATTCAATTTGCAGACCACTTTCACCAAGTAAAGCTGCGGAAGGATCTGATTACCAAAACATACCTTTTTCTAGCCTGAATGTTAACACAGCATGGCAGCAGAAATCAGCTTTTACTCGCACTGTGTCCCCTGGATCTGTTTCGCCCATTCATGGACAGGTACAGCAAATTTGCTGTATTTTAGATTTATGTTAATGAAACTGATTTAAAAAACAAACAGACAAACCCCAAACCAGACGAAACCACAGCTTTTCTAATACTGGCTGCACTGAACAGTCCAGAGGATAAAGAAAGTAGACTGAATTCTCCACTATTGTGAATTGACATAATTCCATGCATTTCCATGGACCGGTGAGCAAGAAGACTCCTGCGGTATCTTTCATAACTCTATAATAATTTTCACCTGTAATTAGACACAAGATATTTCTAGCAAATAAGAAACAGAGTTGATAGATTGTTCCTGAGTGAACAGGTTATATGCAGCGATGCAAAATGTTGTTGACCAGACAACAAATTATTCAGCCAACACTTAGGAATGAAATTGCTTAGACTGCCATTAAAAGATACATCGTTGGTTGGTTGGTTGGGTTTTTTTTAACGCACCGATTTGGGGTAGTGTGGTCAATCAACATCTCCACTTCTCTCATAACAGGGGCAACCTGTCGAGAACTTAAAAGCACAAGCACTTTGCTCTTGGACTGCAAAAAAAGATAACCACTTGAATTTTTCAAAAAATGATATCATTACTGTCCTGGAGCAGCAGGAAAACTGGTGGTTTGGAGAGGTACACGGAGGAAGGGGTTGGTTTCCAAAATCTTATGTCAAGCTGTTACCTGGGAGTGAAATCAAGAAAGAAGAGTAAGTATGACTTTTATTTTTGTTTTATTCAACCATTTACAAAAAAAGGTGGGTTTAGAGTGCAAAGTTCTTGCAGTGCTTTAAAGTGCAGAATATAAATACTGTTTACAATTTACACCGTGCCATTTCAGGCTTGTATTATTTCATTCTGGCAAGCCCAGTAACGTTGGGCTCACTACTGTGTAAACAGACGGTCTTCCACGGCTGAGTGCTGTGAAAAATCAGCAGTGTGGGATTATTCATCGAGTGCCAGACTTTGTTTTCGTTCATTACTGAGTCAGCTCTCTTGCAGTGTAGTTGCTTTCTGCCTCCGAAGGTGCCAATTTCTAATTGCCCTACAAAGAATTGTAAGCCCGTAAGGCGTATCTTGCAGAAATAGTGTATTTTTCTTTACTTGAAAAGATCGTTATGTCTGTTCTAATGTTGCAAGGCCAACTGTTCAGGTAATAACTCAGTCTGGTTTCTGCTGGGATGGGTTGTACTGTTGTGTGTGAATTATTTTTTTATGTGTTTTTGATAAAAGTTCTTAGAAATTCTCGAGCGTGAGAGAATTTAGACAAAATCTTCTATTTGTACTTCTTTTGGATAATGTAATTTGTGAATATATCTTCTCGTCTTTCATCACATTACTTTTTTTTTTTTTTTTTTTTTTTTAAGCGTTGTGCTCTTGGATGCCATTCATATCTTAAATTTTATCAGTAATAGTTGTCACTGTTTGACAGTCAGGAAAGTCTTTGCAGTTAATTCAGAGGCAATACCAACTTTGAGATAACCAAAGTGGGCTTAGTCGTATCCTAATAAAGAGATTTGTTCTTGATCAGCCTTTTTAGTTACTCAAACTCTTTTTTTCTTTCTGCAGACCAGAACCTATTTATGCAGCTGTAAACAAAAAGCCTAACACACAGTCTTATGCAGCAGGAGAGGGTAAGACAGCATGAAACACTCTGCTTAATGATACAGTCTGTTTCTGCTCAATATCATGTGAATAAGCTTAAATATGTGAAGAGTTTCTGAGCAGGCCTTTTAATGCTTGTCCCAAAGATGCAGTGCAAATGTTGAGCTACTGTTATGAGAATTTTAAAGTGGGAACTTAAGCAAAGCTTATAACTAATTCAAGCTGAGTGTAAGCCTGGGTTTTGGGTTTGGTTTTAAGACTTTTGCTTGAGCATTAATTTATTTCTGAAAACTTAAGTATGTCTCATACCTGTAAGCCAAGTTCTCTTCCTGCTGTTCTCTACTGTCCTATGCTGTACTGTAGAGACATCAGAAAGGATTTTTCATTTCCTGAATGTGGATCATTCACTTTTAATCATCAGGGAGTACAGAAAACAAATATTACTGGAGAAAAATTGGTGGGGAGCACTTTCTAAGCCTTTTAATCTAGTGTATCTCTATGCTTCCCCAATTATATTTTAATTCCACTTGTGTTTTTTCATTTTGCTGTATTAGGTAAGAATGGTTTTAATCAGGCTTAGGTGTGGAATATACAAGCTTACTGTGAAACACAAAGGTAGGGTGCAATATTTAATGCAAGAGATGAGTTTTCAAGTCTACAGGCCTCTGCTGATCCGCAGGATGATCGTAGGGTAGTAACTCTCACTGTGCCAAATTCATCTGTACAAAGTTGCGTACCTGTAATTCAGAGTTGTGAGGTGAGACATGATCACAGTTAAGCAAGTAGGTGGGTTGATTCACAAACTTGTGAAGACATGATCTGTGTTAAGAACACGCTGATAAACGCTGATATCAAAGATAGCTTTACTTGCGTCTGATGTACTTTTATCCTCCTATCTGAAACTACTGTATCTTTCTTTATATGTGCTGTTTGCACAGAGTATGTTGCGCTCTATTCGTATTCAAGCTCTGAGCCTGGTGACTTGACTTTCACGGAAGGTGAGGAAATCCTAGTGACCCAGAAGGAAGGGGAATGGTGGACCGGGAGCATTGATGGCAGAACTGGAATCTTCCCCTCCAATTATGTCAGACCAAAGGATCAAGAAGTGAGTTTGTATTCTGAGAATCAACACATGATACTTTCTCTCAACTTTATTGTATTACTGGCATTGATAACTAGCTCTTGGATAGTGATTTTTAAGCAGAGGTTTTATGTGCTTAACAGAAAAGAAAAGCCTAGGTAGCTTGAGTGCTAAATCAGTGTTCCAGCCACAGTGTCAAGCTGTCTCTCTCCATACTGCATGGTATTTTGTTAAATAAGGGCCCAAAATTAAAATCCCCACATGCTTTTCTGTCCACATGCTTAAAGTTGGTGTAACTGCTACTGTTTTTATTGCACATTAAAAGATGATTGTTGTGTCTTTGTAGGCTTCTACTAATGCTGGCAAAACTGGAACGATAAATAAGAAACCTGGTAAGTGTGTGATAACTTTTTAACATTTAGGACTGTTACTGAAGTGACTATGAGCATTTAGGTTCATAGCAGTGTTTTAATGGTGGCCAATGTGCTTAGCTGCAAGGTGTGTACTGGGATATTTCTGTGGATCCAGCTCTTATTGTAATGAAAAGATAACAAATGCAGTAAATATATTATTGTTTCAGAAATTGCTCAGGTTACTACTGCCTATGCTGCATCGGGAACTGAACAGCTTAGTCTTGCTCCAGGACAGCTAATACTTATTCTGAAGAAAAATGCTAGTGGATGGTGGCAAGGAGAGCTGCAGGTAATTACTGAAGGAGAAATAATTCTGACCATGAACAGCAAGGAGGTGATCTTGGGTTTAATTTAAGAAAATGACTAAGTATTACGTTCTAAAAGCTGGCTAGAAAGTTACTTCTATGTTGTATAAACCGTATTTGAGGAAAACCAAGTTTTTAATTAAACTTTGGGTTGCTGGGGTTATTGTTTGGTTTTTATTGGGTTTTGGGTTGGGTTTTTTTTTTTGGCCACGGAAAATAGTGAAACTGTCAATGAACGTGCGCATGGGAAAGGGAAGAGGGATGTTGAAAGGTAATAAATTGGTTAGGATTTAATTGGTAAAACATTAGATTGTAAAATTATTCTAATGAAGTAACAGGCATTCTTGGGAGGTCAGAAGCTAGTTTATTGTTGAAGGTTGCTGTTCCCACTTCTCTCCTTTCCCCACCTAGTGATGAATTTCTAGGCCTCAAGGGCTAAGGGTACTGTTATGTGACATTCTTTTGAAATCATAGTTGATATTTTGACTTTTGGATCCCCATGGATCTTGTCCATAATAGCCTTCATCTTTGCAACCAATGCAAAAAGTTAAATCGTAGTCTTACAATGTCTTCTTTGTTACCCTTTTCTTTAGCTGAATCTGCAGGGTTAGCCTGAATTTAAACATGTTACTTCTGATACTGCATGCTATTTCCAATATTGGGATTGAACAGCACAACAGAAGGTTCTGTCCTCTTAATATCACTTAATTGGCCTTTCCCATGGTATTCTACAGCCACACACACTCTGTCTTGAGTGAATACTCCTGTTAACACCGATCTTACTTCTCCAACAGTTAGAACAGGGCTGACCTAACTATTCAGCATCTGTTTTAAAACCAGCCTGCTCTACAGATACAGGAGGAGAGATCACAGTGAGCAAGTTGAGAAATTGCTGCACTGAGTTTCTGTGAGTTAACAGCAGTGGAAAATTTATTCATAGTATGTGCAAAAAAAAATAAAATACAGAAAACAATGAATAGTTTGTATTTTAAGAAAAGTAGTCCCAGTGCTGGGTCAGGAAGAAGCTTCAAAGATTAAAGAAAAAAAAAAGTGGGGGAAGGGAAACTAAGATACATAATTGTCCATTCTTGCTAGTTTGAATTTCTTTTTTTTTTGTTGTAATAAGGCTCACTCTGCAGTTACTGCTTTCTAAAATCTATGCTGCTTTTTACATCCTGACATTTTTGTGCACTCTGAAGTATATTTGTTTCTTCAGTGTTTGCAAAGACTAAAAAATGAGGAAATTCTTTTGAAACTCGCACATGCTGTACTAGGTAGGAAGTGATATCAACTACTTAGGTCAGGATTTTCAAAAGTAGCTTATGGTAATTGTTACCTCTGTTCTGGGTATCTCATTAGAGACTCCTTAAATGATGCCTAAGTGGAATGTTCATAGAGCAAATTTTCAGCCCTACAATTAAATTGTGAACTGAAATCATTAGCTGCATCTGAAAACTTTGTATGAACACGTTTGCCATAACGTACTGGGATGCAGCTTTATTTGAATTGGGTTATTTTATCCTTCGGCCAGATTTTTTTCCTTTTGAGATCTGTTCAGTATTTGGAAGCCTGACTTTTTGTCTTTAGTTGGCAAAACCGTGTGACACATTTGTTGCATTTTTTTCCAGTCTATAGACTATTTCTTAATTGTGTAATAACCATTTTAAACATTTACAGGCCAGAGGGAAAAAGAGACAGAAAGGATGGTTCCCTGCCAGCCATGTGAAATTACTGGGTCCAAGCAGTGAAAGAACCACATCTGCTGCTCCCTCAGGTGAAAAAAAAAAAAAAAAAAAAAAAACTTTAAATTAGAGACTTTAAATTTCATGTACTAGTCTGAATTACGTAGCTAGTGCAATGTTTAATGGCCGTATCTGATCGTGGTGTCATGGTAGAAGACGAAGTCCTAGTCAGAATCTGGGTCTTTTGACAACCATGGCCTCTCAGCTCTTATCTCTGTCCAAGAAAGGTAAAATCTCACAACTTCTTAATCAAAACAGTTCTTCACAGGGTCCCTCCCAAGCATATGCTATTCTCTACATACCTTACAACAGAAAGTCTCAGTCATACAAAGACGTTTGTATCCAGAAACCTGTGAGAATCAGCAGTCCATCTTCTATGGCAAGAGCTTTTTCATTTTGCTGAATGCACTGAAGAGCCACACTCCTTTCACTTGAAAATTCTGTTTCCAAATACTAGCCAAAATCTTACAGCAAGCTAGCAATCATTGACAAACACCTTGGAATTACATGCACTGCTCCTTGTAAGGAGGCAGACTAAGCAGCAAATTTCCCCTAGGTTTTTCCATTTGAATGGCCAGGTACAAATGAGATTATTTCACAGAAAAGGAGCTTTTTTGGTTCTGCATGCTTAAATTGTGCTGTTCTCCGTAGCTATGATTTGCTTATACAACAGCTTCCTGGGTATTACTGGACAAAACATCCCTTTGACTAAACCAGCAGCTCACAATTAGCTAATGCACATTTCCTCTTCCTTTGCCACATTTTTCTCACAAGTATCAGCTATGAGATAATCAAACTCACTTTCTTCTCCGAGCCAGTAAGAGAGATAGAAGCACACTTGATTATATTTTAAGATGTTTAGAAGGTCAATGGATGCTATAGTAACTGAATCCATTTGCTGTAGGAGTGCGTAGGTACATAAAGTGGAAATAAAGATTGCTTGGCCCAATTAAAAAAAAAAAAAAAAAGGTAAAAGAAAAGGGAGGACAGTTCCACATCAAGATAAGATGTGGCATTTTTCTTATGTAACAGTGTATATGAAATAGTTCTTTCTTTCCTGCGGTTATGTAAAACACCGAAAAAACAGCCGTAATACTTGTGTAACGGTGTTCTGCTATATTTGTTTTTTCCTTGCAGTGTGTCAAGTGATAGCGATGTATGATTACATGGCAAACAATGAAGATGAGCTCAGTTTCTCCAAAGGGCAGCTTATTAATGTGCTGAGCAAAGATGATGCTGACTGGTGGCAAGGAGAAATCAATGGTGTGACAGGTCTCTTCCCCTCAAACTATGTGAAGATGACCACGGACTCTGATCCAAGTCAGCAGTGTAAGCAACTTTTATTTTTTATTAATTTTGTTACTTTATTTCAAAGGCGCATTGCTACTCTTCTGCTTTGTGTTTGGAATTTGGAGTTCCAGGCGTCAGCTGAATTTACTGGTACTTTAAATAGTCTTAAATACTTCACTAAGTACTTTAAATACTTTTCTATTTAACCTATAAACAACCAGCATGTTACCCACCAGCCAGTGTGTGATAGTAAGAGTGCTAGGGCGAGCTAAAAATACTATATTTGGTAGGTGTTCCCCTTCCATTAAAGGTGGTGCTGTTCGATAACTGACACGGACTGGGAGTCAGCGCAGGCATACTGTGTTCCATTACGGAACTTGCTCGAGTTTTATAAAATACAAAAACGTGTCAGCTGTAGTCATCTTTAACTTCTATTTAAACCAGTTATCTGTTAAGTAAAAATAACCATAGAAAGGATAGGGAGAAGATTCGAGCATTGGCAAGTGATCTATCCTATGGTAAATACCTGGCTCCTGGCTCCCAGCAATTGAGCTCTTGTACAATTCTGAGAAGCAAGATACATATCAAAACACACATTAAGCTGAAAATTATCAGCAGCGGGCTGAAAACTGAATGCTAGAATATACACCTATCTGACAGTGAAAATTTTCTGTCTTTTTTGCATGTAAACACAGTAAATCTTTCTGGTGTCTCCCCCTACACACACACATGGGTTTTTTGACTCCTCTACCCAGAGAAAATTACCACTATTTTTACTCCCTCAGCTTTTCATCCTGGGGCACTGTGATTAAACCAACTTTTATATCAACCCATGACATCAGTGGGTTTGGGAGCGTATTTTAACATAAAAGTTGCTGCTTTGACAAAACAAGCCTTGTCGCTTCACTTACTATTTTTTCCCTAGGCATCATTTGTAGTTTTCTCAGTATAAAAATGTGCATCCAGAAGTCTGACTGAGGTAGACTCCTAATAACCTATAGCTAGTGTGTAGGACCAGTCTGCAGTTAACATTTGATCAACATGGTTGCGTTCTTACAGAAGAATTCACAAAGTCTGTAATGAAAGTACAGCTTGGACTGGAAAGTTATTTATCCTGGGTAGCCTTGTTATGGTACCTGGGCAAACTACAGTATGCACCACTCTCAAGGTTTTTTTTTTAGCTAAATTATGTCTGTGCTTACATTTTTGGTAACACGTTTATTTTTTATATATTTTTTAAAATGCCTCTAGTATTGCTGTTATGTCAAAAACTTCTGCATTTAGATTGAATTTAACATTCTTTCAGTTAGGCATATCTAAATCATTAAAATGATTCTTACAAAGTTTTTGTTGTTGTTTAAATAGAGACAAAAATCTCAATTTTGAAGTAGCATAGACTAAATCCAGATGGGCTACAAAAATTAAGATTCTGTGAGTTAAAACTTTCTGAATTTTCAAAAATGCTAGAGATATTTGCTTATCACACCAGGTGTGTTTCCATTTAGCGTTGTGTAACTGAGTGTGTAAGTGCAAGATGATGACATATACCGCTAATTTTCAACAAAAGCAGTGCTAAGATCAAGTTGTAATTGGAGGCACGTGATGTGATGATTAAGTTTTTCTCATTGTTTGCCGATACATCATTAGGCTGTCTTTTTCTCAGATTTCAGTGCTGTGGAGTAAAAAATATTTCCATCCACATCAAACTGTGGGTGCGTGAACAGAATTTTCCTTTGAAAGTACGTTGACAAAGGTCAGCTGGGGCGGTCAGATGAGCAGGCGTGCACCAGGTCACCTGTCCATCGCTGTTAAGCTTCTGTCCAAGAGCTAGCCTCTTCGCTAAGAAGCAGACCTACCGGTGCTTAAGTAACAAAATCCACCTATTGGTGAATGAAGAAGATGTTGGATTTTTTAAAACAGAAATTCTCTGAGTATTTCAAATAAGTTGGTATATCAGTTTCGTGCTGGGATTTGCCACTTTTTTTATGACACTAAAACATATGCATTTTGAAACTTCAGGAAAAATCCTGCTTAAAGTCTGGAGCCTGCTCAAAACTAGCAATGCTTGTTAGCTCAAGTGCAGCGCTGTGCAAATGCTGTTGCACAGATTGCAGCTGGGCTGCTTTCATCTGGTGTGAAGTCTGAGCTAGTAAGGTGTCTTAGCAGCAAGCTAGCGCTGTACCATTCTTCTGCAACCAAAGAAATGTTTAAGTATGTACTGATTGAACTTTCAGGCTTGCTTGGATTTCCTTAAAATAATTTTTGCTCTTATTTAAATATAGTGCAGAAACTATCTCTAGTATTCTTGAGAAATCACTAAGGAATTGTCCCACAGAAATTGATGTGGCCCTCTAGGGACCAGCTTGGAGATATGACAGAATATAATTTTAGAAACACATTGTTATATTTTGAAAAATTGTTAATGTTTCTGTTGAAGAATAGCAGTTTCTCCCACTGTCTCTCCAAGACGGTCAAATGTAATGGTGTTTGAAAGGGAGCAGGCAGCTTTGGTTTACTCAAACAGGTTTGCTACTTAGGAGAATTCTGCTTTTGCCTCAAATTTAAACTCTGTTGTCTGGACCACCTTTGTACCCAGAGTCTTTCCTGGGACTTACTGGTTATAGCTGTAATGGCAAACTTCTCTAGCAAAGAAGGAACTTAGGTCAGCGAGGTGTTTCTTCTCTTAGGTTGCCAAAATAGCTCTCTGAACAGAATAAGCTGTGCTGACAAGATCACTTTTCCTGTTCGTGTAGCTGCAGATCCTGGCGTAGGGTCTCTGCAAGGGAAAAAATCGATGGTGTCATAGGTCTGCCATCAGGTCTCTTAAATATAACCAAGTCTTGGTGATTGCAGAACATGAAATACTTGAGTGTCGTGCTCTCGGTGACCTTGGTGATGGTTAGACTTATGTTTTAATGGCATTTTAATAGCCCTTATTCTAATGTTTGCACAAAAGTCATCATAAAGAATAAATAAGATACACAGAATGTTTCAAAATATAAATAGCTATGGGTTTAAAGTAGAGGAATGTGCATAATCTCATAATCATCTGTTCTTTGTTGAGCGCTTGCTCAACCACTCAGGGTCAGATCTTTTGCCTTGCCCGTACCTGCCTAGGACATGTCTCCCAGCTTTTCTTCCCATTCCTCCCAAGGGGTGTGTAAGGTGGGGTAGGCATGGTCCACTTACCGCTTTACAGTTCTTCCCAATGCCCTGGTCCAGAGATAATTTTGTTGTTTCAGCCAGTCTTTGTCTGCCTTAAACAGTTGCTTTTACAAACTTGTTCTCTCCTTATTTGTTGGGTTTTTCAGCAAGATGGCTTTTTTCAGTTTGTCGCCTTATCCGTGAGACCAATCTGAGCCTTGTCGTTATATCTTCTTTAGTTGAGATTTTCTCCCCTCAGGTACCTCAGATGGAGGCAAGACAGATGCTCCAGCTACATCTGCATACTTGGTTGCTGGATGTCTTTTAGTGTTAGAGATGAGTTCATCTCTCAGAGACGTTCTTGCTGAGAGCTGGACAGCTCAGCCAGGTGGACATACCTATGCTCAGTGTGCAGAGGCTTCTAGTTCATCTTACCTGAGGTATCTCATCTCCCTTTGTGAGATTGGTCTTCCACAGAGCTGAATGTTGTACCAGTTATTTCTACTCTAATGTACATTAGAGTTACTGTTTCTGTTCACTCTCTTTTTGTTTCATAGCCCAGCATTTCTGCAGTTCCTCAGGCTTCTAAGTTACTCCTTCAGGTGCTCAGATGTCAGCTCCAGGTAGTCCCTGTAGCCTGATAAGCACCTCTTTCCCCCATTAAACCTGCCTGCTCTGCCTTCTGCCAGTGCAATGCCAAAAGTTGGTTAGACTGGAAACAGGTCCTCTCTCCATAGGCTCTTCATGATGCGCATATGACGACCGGCATGAATTTCCTTAGGTACAAACTCGCTGTTCATAGTAATACCACGGAATCTACCTAATTTTTTCCTCCCCAAACCTTACCTGTAGATATGACACATTAGAGACATGAGGCAAGTCCTGTCCTTCCAACAACAAGGATCTGTATTTACAGAAGTTTATCTCCATGCACAAAAGATCATTAATACTTCCTGTCCACCACTGTCTAACGAATGAAGCTGACTCATGTTCAAGGGTGTTCACAGTGGAAAAAACAACTTCTGAACTGACGTGGTCATGGCAGGTGCATTTCTGTGTCTCTATATGGACAAGACATTTTGAAGTTCTCTATTTATTGCCAAGTAACTTCTCTTTATGATTGCAGAGTAAGAGTTCGTGGTATCAGTGGCTTTGAGGTGTTGCATGTTGCAGGTCCACATTAATTTTTTAACACAGGAAGATTAAAAATCTAAGATTTTACTCAACAGCTCCAGAATTTTACCCCTTTTACTAAGGATCAAATATGAAATCAATCCCTTAGTCCATAGTGACATAGTCATTTTCTATTTCTAAAAGTATTTGGAGAATATCAGTCAGGCTTGATAAAACTTCCAGGTTGAAATCCTGGGGTCCGGAATAGTCTCTGGATTGCCCACAGGGTGTGTGCAGCCGCAGCCCACGTCATGCATCTGCCTTGAACCTGGCTTGGCAGCGCCTCTTCTGGACTGTGTAAACCTTAGTTTCTGACGGGTGTATTGAGCAATGTGGTATACTGCCTACTTCACGGACACTTTACTAGAGACAAGGTTTCATTTCCTTTCAGGCTTTGAGCAGAGTTGAACAGGTTAATTTTTATGTGTCAATATGAATAAATTCTAATGAGGCTTTTCTTTACAAGTTTAGTTTTTATCTGATTTTCAAATGTCACGTGACAAGTTTCTCAGGAGAAATCCTGGCTTTGTTGAAATCTCAGGGAATTTTGCCATTGCCTTTAAATAAACCTTTAGGGCTTGACCTTGTGTTGTTGAGTCTGTGCAACAGAAATCTTCCTCTGGAAGAAACTTTCTTCTTCAAGTGAATCAGCTATAAGTGTTTTCCAGAGTCAGTGATGGCTGGTCGCAAGTACTTAAAACTGTGTGTGTTTATAAATATGA